GTACAGTAAAAACACAACGTCCAGGAGTCACACAAACGACCGTCATTCCTCTCTGCTGTTTTGAGTTTAGAGGTGTAGCTTTAGCCTCGAACCCTGAACCGTCCCGATCTCTGTCATTCCTCTCGTGCCACTCATTAACACGTGTCGTGCTAGAGATTTCTTTCTTTTGCAATGAACAAAACACTGTAGGTCAGACATTCGTCTGTTAAACAACTCGGCCATCTTTCATGCTTTTATCAGAGAAATAAAGAGTGGAAACTGTAGAATCCGTATGAAGTATCGTGCACAGAGTTGCGTGCTGTAACTCCATATTATCTCTGTACATTTGATTTGGGTGTAGATTCTAGGAGCTCTGTACTATTATCCCGATGCTAGAGGTACTGCTCATCTTTTTAAGACGTGAAATATCCGTTCGTGTGTCGGTGGGTTGGTTGTTTTCTAACCTTTCTAGTGGCATGCTGGCTTCTGTTTCCATTCCGTAGCTCTGTTTCGTCAGACGGCGCCGATCCTGTCTTCTTCCTGACAGAAAACGTGCCCTTGATTTGTTACATTTTTATTTCTTATCTTTGTTTATATAAAGAATATATTCTATTTATTTTTGATGATCGTAGATGGCACATCTGTGGTAAATTCGCACTCTCCAATCTGGTTTTCACTTCGTTTGAATTTTTATTGCCCTCATAGATGTTGCATTTTCAAGGTTTGTAGCTACATGTAAACTGTTTTTCCTGTTTATTAACAAGAATTTTACAGAATAAACTCATTGGAATGCAAGTGTCTTCTCTGCCGTGTCTTTATGTAGTAGTGCTCAGTTGTGCTAAAATGTCATTCTTCTGATGGCTTGCAAACTCACACATTATTATCTGGTTCAGTCAAACACACACACACACTCTCACTCACACACTCACACACACACACAGACACACACACTCTGTTAAACAACTCGGCCATCTTTCATGCTTTTATCAGAGAAATAAAGAGTGGAAACTGTAGAATCCGTATGAAGTATCGTGCACAGAGTTGCGTGCTGTAACTCCATATTATCTCTGTACATTTGATTTGGGTGTAGATTCTAGGAGCTCTGTACTATTATCCCGATGCTAGAGGTACTGCTCATCTTTTTAAGACGTGAAATATCCGTTCGTGTGTCGGTGGGTTGGTTGTTTTCTAACCTTTCTAGTGGCATGCTGGCTTCTGTTTCCATTCCGTAGCTCTGTTTCGTCAGACGGCGCCGATCCTGTCTTCTTCCTGACAGAAAACGTGCCCTTGATTTGTTACATTTTTATTTCTTATCTTTGTTTATATAAAGAATATATTCTATTTATTTTTGATGATCGTAGATGGCACATCTGTGGTAAATTCGCACTCTCCAATCTGGTTTTCACTTCGTTTGAATTTTTATTGCCCTCATAGATGTTGCATTTTCAAGGTTTGTAGCTACATGTAAACTGTTTTTCCTGTTTATTAACAAGAATTTTACAGAATAAACTCATTGGAATGCAAAGGGTTTCTGTTGTTTTCTGTTCTCTCTGCTGTGTCTTTATATAGTGCTCAGGAGAACAATCTCGTTCTTTCGGGCTCCTACAGTGTTCGTTAGTTCTTGTCATCTTATTAGTGGCGTCTCAGTGTGAATCATGGCATATTTGTGTCTCTGTATCAAACTCGTTAATGTCACCATCAGACCAGAGTTGTTTCTCCTCATATGTTCTGAAGTGTGTGCTTGATTGAATCCTAATCAAGAGTCCAGTGGCTCCATTTTTCCTCAAGCAATCATCAGATCCTCACCGAATGTGGCTTATGTCATCTTCAGACTAAAGTGGCCAAAGGTTGTTTTGATATATCGAATCATTCTTATTTAACGCATCAGAATAAATTTTTGCCTGGTATCTTCTGAACTGTTTAGCCTAAAATAATGAGACTGGTCTTTTATGTTTTTTGGGCAGAGTTGATCGTTACCCAGTGCTTCTGGGTCATTTTGCACATTACTAGTTGTTTTCTGTAAAAAGGGTTTTACACATGAGTTGATAGATCAAGATGAAGCTGGATTATGTGTCATTGGCATACCTCTAGGTATGTATGTAATGTGTGTATATATAGATATGCACAAAATATGTTTTTATATGTTTTTGAGAGTCAGCCATATTGCCTGTCCACCGGTTTGAATATCATTGCAAGCATACTCAGTCAAGCTCTTCAGATATTCACCAGATTAGGCTCAGATCATCATCAGACCATGATGGCAAAAAGTTATTTAATTCTTTTTGATATATCAAACTATTCTTGATTGTGGCTTTTCCTACAGATTTGCTACTGTTGTTCGTGACTATCATTGCAGGTACGTTAACATTTATTATTGAAGGCAGGATGAAACGAATAAATATAAATACTAGACTGTATCAAAACAAAAGTCTAAAAAGCCCTTGTTTCTAGAGCATGTTAACACGAGTATGTTCATTCATCAGCAGTGGATCGCTAGGAACTCCGGGCCCCTTGCACTGATTTTGCTATGGGGCCCCCATGTAGTAAATGTTCCCATGTGGAGCCCAGATGAACTCAATCATGCTATTAGTAGTAGTAGTAGTAGTAGTAGTATTCAGCATTAGGGGCATATATATATATATATATGGTGTGTGTATTTCATCCTCCTGTTCATCTCGAAGTGATGTGAGAAACCTGACAGAAAGTTCATGATTAACTGAAGTGATTCACGAGTCTGAAAAACAATCACACCATCTTTTTTGTTCTGCAGTTGATCAGAGGATGAAGTTGATCCACTGTCTGATCATCTTTAATATTCTCAGGAGAACTTGAAGTGTGAAAAGCTTGCATCTGATCTGATGCAGTGAAGCATTTGAGTTCTCTGCAATGAACAGCAGACCAGACGGAGCTCAGTGGTGATTCACTAGCTGCAGTCCTAGACCATAGAAGTGTAAAGAGAGCAGATGAGTTTGTGTTATTCTGCATTATTTTATACAGTATTGAATGTATGTAGAACAGTATTACTTAAATAAAATAGCAGTCGTGTTGGTAAAGTCAATAAAAGGCCAAAAAGCACACGTGATTTTAATCTGAAATCATTTGATTTTGTCACACACACATTTACACAAAACCACAGTCTCTTCTCATTCTTCTTGTAGTATTTATTGTATGTAACGTCTGTGAGACTGTAGATGTTTGATTCTTCTGTGCTTCTGCTTTTCCTTCCAGTTGACTGTATTTGTGTGACGAGCTGCCGAGCATCCTGCCTTCAACTATTGAAAGAATGACATTAAAACATATGGATACATATAAACATATATATGATATAGTAAAGGTTATATAACAAGATTATTTCTGTATTTATTTAACTAATAAACTGAATACAACTTCTTCTACAGTCGTGTATTGGTTGGTTTGGTGTGAGTTAGCCATATATTTACTGGATATTAGTTTCTTGGCTGTGCCTCAGGAGTTGGCAGGCTGCTATAAATCTTGCAGCTATATTTGCACACTTAGATTTTTCACCAAGAATGAAGGTGATTTTTTCAGTTGGGGTGCAATTATTAAATTGTGGAAATATTTTGTTTATTTTGGGGTAATAGTGGTCTCTGATGGTTAGGTATTTGGGGCATTCTGTGAGGAAGTGCAGCTCTGTCTCTATCTCTCCCAGACTGCAGTGGGAGCAGAGTCTCTCCTCACGGGAGAGCCAGGTTTGTCTGCGCCGGCCCGTCTCTACAGACAGACTGTGCTCGCTGAGTCTGTACATCGTCAGTGTTTTCCTGAGCTTCACATCAGTCACTGTGCTCAGGTAGCTTGCCGTGGTGTACTCTCGATTTAGTGCCGAATAACATTCTAATTTGTGCTGGTTTTTGATGGTGTTTGTCCAACACTCACACTCTCACACACACACACACACACACTCACACACTGAGGGCAGGATATCATTTGAACTGTTTTATTTAGAAAGGGAAGTGTAATTCCACCAAGGAAAGGAATGATCAAACACATCGCACACTAGGTCAGACGCCGTCGCCGTGGGTTAGTAACGAGACCTCTGGCCGTGAGACTGAGAGCCGGAGTTCCGTTCATTGCGGCGGTCCGGGAAATGATGCCCGCGGGGCTCGTGCTGCCGCTGCTCCGGGAGTCTAACGGGAAACACGCGAATGCATTCAGCAGCAGCCACACATACATCTGTCTCAAACAGCGCTTGATCACTGCACTCACCGCCTGTCTCTGTCTCTGCGCCCGCGCGCCGCTCTCCAGTCCTCGAGCACGGGCGGCGGGTCTGGCTCGCGCTGCCGGTACCGCTGGAACTCCGCGTCCTCCGCCGAGAAACGCGACGCGAACTGCACGTCATAGTCAGTGGCGCAAGACATGGCGTTCGTAACAGAAACAGGTGCCTAGAGACTTTAGCAGACCGTTTCAGTATGACTGACAAACAACAGCGTTTAAACTGATTACGCTGAAATCTCACCTGCACAGAAGCCGAATACCAGCACGACACGTGACGTGCAACTCTGATTTCATTCCCTGACGGCTTCACCGAAGGTTCCGGCAGACTGAGTTCCCCTTCCGTTCACACGCTTCACAATCAACGCACCTTTTCTGATACACTTTATATCGCTCTGTGAGTTTCTTATTGCGATTTTTTTTAACGTTAATACCAAACGTATTTTGCTTGTCAAGTGTGTGTGTTTTTTACTGACCATCGGCTTTTGTTTAGGGCTGGTTTAATTAATAATGTAGAAGAGTTGGCTCAGTTGCAGTTCTGCAGCCGCGGAACATTTGGATTTCTGCAGAAATGTGAGTACGGGAGAGTTAACTAGTGACTAGGAAACATAACTAACCAGTTTATCACTTTGTCCAGTTATCTAAGAGTGAATGTAAAGATCAAGCTGGATCAAAGCGACGACGCGTTGTTTCTGTGTGTGTGTGTGTGTGTGTGTGTTTCTCTCTGTGTGTGTGTCTGTGTGTGTGAGTGTGAGTGTGTGTGTGAGTGTGTGTGTTTCTCTGTGTGTGTGTGTGTGTGTGTGTTTGTGTGTGGGCTGATCCGCGGCGCGTCTGACTGTCGCTCAGTTTGTATTCATATTCATCCGCAGCGGACTGAACTCAACACTCCCACATTTATTGACGCGTCTCACCATTACAGCCTTTAAATATTAATACAGATCAACCAGCACGAGCTGAAAGTTAGTTTCTCGGCGGCGGAACCCGGAGCTGGAGTTCGGGAATATCACATTTCAGCTCGAGCGAAATATTCGGGGCTGGAACTGATGCGGGAGATTTTTGACTCTTACTGTAACTAAAGACGCTTCATAAACGCCACAGATCCGACAGAAAGGCAGCGAAATGGGGTAAGTACTCAACCGAGTCCCTTCTTATCCTCGCCTGTTCATCTGCTGTCATTTCGTCGAAAAAACTCGTGCAGATTTATTTCTGGATGAGAAATGACAGATCAAAGGTTGAAGGTTGGTTACATTTGTTGCGCGAGAGGCAGAATCGAATCCGATCAAGTTGACAGAAAACGCTTGTGAATTCGGCGCACGTCAATCGTTTGAATTATCTTTAAAAAGTGAATTAATTCGTCTTCTTGTCGCCTTAATTCACGCGCTTCGCATTCAGAATCTGCGCTCGGTGGCTTTACTTCATTTGCGGAATTGCGTGACGAGAAGTTGGGTTGTGTGCGGCTTGTGGGTTTAGGGTTTGAACAGCAGGTGATTTTTGGCTTGCGTTTGCGCGTGCATTCAGCAGAGAAACCTTCCCATGATCTGAGCGAAACATCTCTCGAGCTTTAGCAACCGCGTATCGAGACCAATATAATGAAAAGAGTGTGGGCTGATGACAGCTGAGGCGGCACCGGTGCTGTCGCGAGATTGAGAGAGAGAGAGAGTGTGTGTGTGTGTGTGTGTGAGAGAGAGAGAGAGAGTGTGTGTGTGTGTGTGTGAGAGAGAGAGAGAGAGTGAGTGTGTGTGTGTGTGTGTGTGAGAGAGAGAGAGGGAGACGGAGAGAATACATGGCAGCAGTGTGAAACCAGTCTGGATCTGCTGCTGGTTTCTTAAGAAGCTGTAGGACCAGTTTGTGCGGTCAGCTGAGTTTCTCCCACACAAGATCAAAACTGAAGTGTAATTATTGAATCATGAAGTGTGTTGCACTACAGTCTGTGTTTTCAACCACAATATCACAGTCTAAATTTATACAAGATCAGATCACATCAGACACTTTAAATCTGGATTTGTAAAGGTTCGCTCATTGTTCTAGGTTTTCCACACTGTGGGTGTTTAACAATGTGATGTTGATCGATTACGGCTCAGTTTTCTGCTGGAGGCTCTTTCAGTGACGAGAGTGTTATAGATTAACCTCGTTCTCCTCGTGGAATGCTCTCTCGCTGCTGTTTGGAGAGGTAGACGGTGATAAAGTGTTAGGATTAAACCCTAAACTGCTGTAGATGAGGAGTAGCTGGACGGGTTGAATGAGGTGTTGGACTGGAGTCTATTTAAACCCGTGTCCGAGAGAGGCCCGTCACAGCCGCTCAGCTCCAGTTACATGAATGGAACAAGTTTATTGATGCTGATCTGACACACTGTCAAGCTGCTGACTGTGTGTGTGTGTGTGAGCGCGTGTGTGTGTGTGTGTGGTCTGTCTGTCTGTCTGAGAGTGTGTGTGTTCAGGACACTGTAGACCCCACATATATAGTACTACTTAACGGCTGGTAAATGACGCTGGCTATCCGCTGGGGATTGAAGGCAGATGGTGTTGGTCTCAACCATCTGCTGCTGTCCTGGAGCCAAAGCCAATGACTTACAGCAGCAGCGCAGATCATGAACTCGCAGTAGTGCTGCCGTCGTGGCCTTAAAGACAGTGAAAGTTATTGTTGAGAGGCTAACACTCTGAGCTATTTATCCAAAAATGTGGTCAGACGGGTCGCCTTACTCCACAAATGTTCTGAATGCTTGTTAAAAGCAGATATTGGTGGAGTAAACCCCAGCTGTGATTGGGAGAAACAAATGACACAAATTATATTTAGTTTTTAAAGGAATTAAACATTGATAAAAATAATCATTCTGTCATCAGTGGGCTGCAGTGTTGTTAGAGTAAATTACAGAACAATCGCTTTAACCCTCATCGTACTGATTGACTTTGTCCAGTCTGATTGATCTGTGAAAATAACAGACAGATATTGATCAGGACTGTGTTTGTAAGGCCACTGTTGAAGGGACAGCAGAAGTGAATTCTGTTTGCACCATTGAATCATTATTTTCCTGTTTATCGCTGCCGAAATAACAGTTTAAAGCCTGAAGGATTCTGTATACGCATCCTCATATATCTGCATCCTCAAAATACCCGTTAAACAGGTGATACACAAGTTGTGTCAGCTAATATGAATAGCTAGCTGTTTTGTTGATTAGCAGCTCGAGCTGAGTTCAGTGTGTGATTGTGTGAGTTCATGGATCAGACGCTCGTCTGCTGGCCCTCGATATGAAGCAAACCGGTGTTGAGCGGCTGTTTGACGTCACGGCGAGTTTCTGTGTGAATGTGGTTCTGGTCGTTTGGTGAGTTCGTGTTGGAGCAGTTTGACCTGCTGATGGCACTGCAGGTCACAGCCCCGCCCACCCCACGGTCTGCTCCAATCGGAGCGCGCTGAGGTCAGAGGTCAGGTGTGCGCTGTGGGCGTGTGCAGGTAGAGCTGCATTCCTGCTGTGGCTCAGAGACTCGGGGAATGTTCTGAATGCTTTGGAGTGACGATGTGTGCATCACACGCGCGTCTCGTCATTGTCAGGCTATTATTTCAGATCTGGGGTCTCATTTATAAAACTCAACGTAGATTTCATCCTAAAAGTGTACGTATGCACAAAAGCTAGATTTTGCGTACACTCAAAAGTTTTCAGATTTATAAAAACATGCGTACGCCAGAACCTGTGCAAAAACCCCTTTATAAATCCCAGTCTCCACCCCGACTCCTCCCCGAAATCACCAAATATGGAGCTTACAACGCCTAGTTTTACTATGCAT